AAAGAGCTTGGCCCCATCCTCCTGACCCCCACCCTGCAGATATTTGTAAGCATTTATTAGGTCCCCTCGCAGCCTTCTCTTCTTCAGGCTGAACAAGCCCAGTTCCCTCAACCTCTCCTCGTAGGGGAGATGCTCCAGTCCCGTCCTCATCCTCGTAGCCCTCCGCTGGACTCTCTCCAGTAGCTCCTCATCCTTCTTGAACTGGGGAGCCCAGAACTGGACACAGTACTCCAGATGAGGCCTCACTAGGGCAGTGTAGAGGGGAAGGAGAACCTCCCTCCACCTGCTGGCCACGCTCTTCTTGATGCACCCCAGGATCCCGTTGGCTTTCTTGGCAGCCAGGGCACACTGCTGGCTCATGGTTAACCTGTCGTCCTCCCACAGGCTCTTCTGACCTTCATTCTGTTAAAGTGGAGCCAAGGCCACTCTTAGACCATACCTATCATGTTTTCATGGCATCTTCAGTCGCTCACCTGCCCCAGATGTTTCTCCTGTCACACTCAGTTGGAACTAATGAAACCATCCATTTTAGGTGTCAGATTTATCCACCAACCACCCATGCTGTGGGGGATCCAGACCAGGCCAACACCTGACTGCCGAGGAGAGCCCACCTATTCACCAGAGATCGCAGGGCCCTCTCACATCAGGGGCTGTGCCGGCAGCTGCCCTCAGCTCTTCCAGCTGTCTTCTCTCATCTACTGACTTTATCTGCCTTATCTGGATTGAACAGCAATCCCAGAGCTCTCCATCACACTCTAGGATTTTGATCGTCGATTGTCTCCGGTACAACAGCTGGAGGCTCCGCCAGCTCTCCGCCCCGTCCCACACTAACCATCAAACCAGCCAGGACCATTCTGAAGGTGGCTCAGCAGAAGCAACAACCAAAGCTGCAGCTGGTTCCTGACCAAGGCACTAAGAACTACATCTCCTAGCACAGTTCCTGTCCTGACACCAGCCCTCTTCTCCCCACGAGTACTGCAGCGCCTGTTCCAAATCAGCCAGGGCCCCTATTCTTTCCCTCCAGCACCTCTTCTGGAACGGATCCAGAGCTCCCTATCTCTTGCCAGCTCTGCCCCCACTGCAGGAGGCCTGGCCTCCACTCACTGAGATGGCTTAGGTTACCTGGTCCCACTCGAGACTCGGGTCATTGTTTATCAGTGTGCTCCTACAGCAGCCTCAGGTCCAGCAACAGAGAGATTACATCGCCAACCTGGAGCAGCCCGCAAAACGCCCTGGGGCAGAGCAAGCATTGCTCACAGCTCTGAGATGGCTACGGGCCGGAACAGAACCAACTGAGCGCACTCCACGAGTGGCTGTGTCCACAAGCAAGCCAAAAACGCTGGTTATCGGACACGGGGCACTACACAGGAACAGGAAACCTCATCGCTGTGGCTGCATACCTGGCGCGCTGACCAGCAATGGGTGCGAGCAGCTGGACAACAGACTGCTGAGCTGCGCTTCGAGGCCTTCTGACGCAAGTCAGACCTAAAGATGTCTTGCATCAGCTGCAGCAAAGCTCCTCACCAACTGGAGAAGGGATGATGACTACCCCATGTACCCTGGAAAATACTCAAATATAATAAATATAGCACACGGTCACTGAAAGACTGGCACTTGAATACATAATTACAATAATTAACCAATTAAAGATGATGAAAAGATCAGAGCTAGGAGGAAGGTACATGGCAGAGCAGAGAAGGAAGTGATGACGGGGAACACGGAGGGGCTATGATTCAGTCTCTGAATTTCAGCTGCTGAACTACAGACCACCACAGTGCATTTGGTGATCAGAGTGCCGTGCTCTGCTTTATGCTTACCTGAACATCTGACTGAAGGGCTCCAAACAACAAACACAGTCTGTAACTGAGAACAGGACTGAAAGCAACACAGGAAGTTTGCATTCCAGGTTGATGGAAAAGGCAGCAAAAGGAATCAGTGCTGACACCAGCTGGCTGGTGAACATCCAGCCCTGAAACCGCCAGGAAGAAAAGCACCAGCAGCAGCCTCTGGGAGAGCAACAGATACGGCAGGACCTAGCAAGGGCTGCAGACAGACCTCGGAGGCAGCCTGGACCCTTTTTGCCCCCCACCACCAGCAAAAGGTCAGCTGTATGCCATACAGGTTATGTATCACACCATCTGTAATCTGTATGGTCAGAACCAAGGAAGGATCGATATACTGCTGGAGTCACAAACCACAAACTGCTGAGAAGTGTCTCTCAACAACGAGCACATTCACAGTATGAAGAGACAATTTTCTGAGAGTGAACCAAACACAGAGTGGTGTTTAAGAGTCCTGCTCCTCCCCCACCCAAAGAAACATCAACAAACTTGACCAAACCCAGACTGCGTTATCACACCAGCCAGGAACTTCTGCATTCTTGAACAGCCATCCTAAAGACTCATAGAAGCCTCACGCAGCAAGCCACAAGGCCTCATCAGTACTCTTGGCTTTCCTCTTTTATTGCTTTTTGTTTTTTTTTCCTAGCTGGTACAGTTGCAGCGATAGCTTTCAGTTAGTCCATCTTCTGTGATCAAAAAGTCCAACGCTCAGTCTTCCCCAGGAACCTGCTTCTCAGCAACGCCTGCTTCAGTGTTACACTGAACTAAAGATGCAGAATTTCAGAGTCCTGCAGCGTGCGCCACGAAGAATGCAAATGATCCAGGCTTGATAAGCTTGCTCTTCTCATCATTACAAACAAAATCGAACAGGGAGCTCACAGGGTTGAGTTACTGCACAGAACTCTGCCTGCATCTCATGCAAGCTACTGAACAAAACATGTTGCTGGACACACAGACAGCTTCTCCAAAACTTAGAGCTGTCAGTCAACACCCCTGACTATAGGACACAGACCTTTTGGTGGTCAGTCATCACCTCACACACACTCAGGCAGAGCACAAACTATGCTGTGTGCAAAAAATACCATGAGGACTTCTTTTGACAACTTTCCTATGCATCACAGCAATACATACCCTATTCAAAAGGCCAGAAGAGGAATCAGCAAGTCATCAGCAGATAGCTGGCACTGACTGAGTTCACTGATGCCCAGCAGCTCCACCACTGTGTAGGAGTAAAACAAATACACAGCAGAAGAGATGCAACCTATCAACAATTCAAAACAGTTAAAAATGGATTCTCATTATAATATTTTTTCATTAAGCGTTACAGCTTCTTCAGGTATGTCTACCTAATGAATAAAGTATCTTAGCTTCTCAGGATAGATCAAATAACACAAAGCTTGACAACTAACCCCGACATCTCTGGTTACTCCTGATGATAAAGAGAGAGAAGGGATAAATATCTCCTTAGTAGCCTTCAGCTGTAACATCAACACAGAAAGTGCCAACAGGCACAGCTGTGCTTTTCCTTTTACATTTCTTTTTTTATATATATTTAATGTTTAACAATATGAATATATTATTTCATTTATATCTATTTAATATTACATTTAATATATGCAGCATATCAGGAGAGTGTACACTAATGAAAATGTTTAAGAAATACTTCAAGGCCCCCAAAAGAGCATATACACACAGAAAATACAACATAGCTGTTCTGTTACAGACCAAAACTGCACAATAGTAGATATCACCCCAGTGACCTTCTGGACCAATCAAAAAGTTTGGTTTATGGTTTTTTTTCCTGACCGTACGGAAAAATCACCAAATATACGTGAAAGCAAAAGCGTTCAGCAATCTCCTTCCGACTTCTCACACTGGCAAACCACGAAGAACATCCGCCCTCTCATCGTATTGAAGTCTGCTATATCATGCTCGTTTTTTAATGTGCAATTTAAAGAAAGCTTGTCACTTAAAAATGTAGCTAAACAAACAAAGAAATTAAGAAATGTCCAAAGGCTTCCATGTTTTACGATGCTACAGTCTCCAACAGGAAAAGGCTTTTAAGAAAATCTTCAAGTACTATGCTCTCTCCCAGCTCCAAAAAAATTACAGTAGGCAATCTCATCTCCCTTCTGATCAAAGCACACACAAGGCAAGGACTGTAAAAGTCAACTCTAAATGAGGGACACCAGCTCTTTACTACAGTTTCAAAATGCACCAGCAAGCAGCTACCATTAAAAGGCTTAAAGTGTCAGTGCGGATTACACGCTGAATTTATAGGCGAAAAAATTGCTAGATCAATGCAGACAATACCACAAACAAATGAAAATTGGTATTAGTAGCAATGAAATTAAAACACTAAGTAATTAGGTTCAAAGTAGTACAGTATCTATTCATAAAAGCTTTAAAAAAAAAAATCAAATTCACCTTTTCTAAATGTGAAAATATCAGACAAATAGCAATCACTGTGCAAAAGTAACCCTTCCCAGCTGGCAGACTAGCACAGTAAAAGCAGCCTGTTAAAAAGAGCTTTTCATTGGAGAGGGCCCGAGGGATTGTTTGAAGAGGAAGTGCTCACCAAGACAAGTGAAACCTGTTAACAGAGTCGAATTAAAAATAAGTAAGGAATTGTAAAAGTACACACTTCTAGAGCCATTAGTGCTGGCCCTTTGACTTAACCAGCAGGCAGCAGCTCTGGCTAGCAGCAGGGGAAGGAGAGCTTCCGCAAGCAGCCGTCTCCAGCGTCCAAGACAGCTTCTCAACACCTGGGGAAGAACATTTCCAATACGCAGCTACAACTCCCATGGTTGGGCATAAGCAAGGAAGAAATTCCAGTTACTAAGAGGGTTTTCTGAGGCACGTTTAAGTAGTCTGCAGTCTCCTCATTTTAAGCGAGTATTAAAGATAAAACAGTCTTTCTCACTCAAAATAAACCCCAAGTTCAATGTCACCATTCAGAAGGATCAGGAAGAAACTGCAAAGCAAAGCCATCGCCACACACGAACACTCTCAGGATTTCTGCAAACAGCTAAAAACAGCCAACTTGGTACGTGCAGTTACATTAAAGAGTACACTTACCCACAAATATTGCAGCAACTTTAGCAAACGTGGACAGTAATAATACTCCATCTTCCACAGCACGAAGTTAACGCAAAACCATCGCCGCTCGAGCCAGCCTCCCCACTCCTCCCTGCCTCCAGCAGAAGTTAACAGCAGACCCGAGCAAATAAAGGCCACATGAATAACGTACGGTGTCTGCTTCGCCGGCCCCACGTCACCAGGCTGAGCTCTGCGCCTTTAACAGATGCTGTGGCTACTTATAAGCAGTAGCTGAGCTACCCGCACCATGTGACTTCACCACTTGTTATTTGGCGTCCAACTGCTCCGACTTCTCCCATCTCGGTAAGCTGCAACGTGTTAGTCTAGAATTAATAATAGCACTTTGGGTTTCGCACTCAAAAGCCCTTCATCTGGAAGGGGAGAGAAGCTTCTAAACCCACTCGGTTTTGCTGGCAGGGTTATGAAACGCTGTTAATGCCAGAGCAGTTGGCGGGGTTGCTGGCTGACCTTATTTTTCAGTAATGTACAAGAAAAAGGAAAAAAAAAACACAGGAAAGAAAAGCTCCTGCTTTTAATATAAAAATGTCTTTTGTGAACAAGCAGAAACAGACACAACAAAGTATCTTTTTCTATACCCCTGGAATGTTCCCAGCAAACGAATACTACCAAAAAAGGAAGAAAGCCTGGGCAAGCCGAGTTATTAACCAACACTGGCTCATCTGCTCTGGGCTGTTTTTAGAAATAGGAAGCAGAGCTGAATGACCAAATGATGGTAGGTATTCTGTGAAGAGAGAAAATGGGAAACGGAACACTTCTACCTGTTCCTACTTTTTTGACCTGCGCCCCTTTTTTCGACAGGAAAAGGAAAGGTAATGGCAAGGGCTGGAAGGGAGCCAGCGCAGGGAGGGCTGCGGCTGCCTCCCCCCTCCCAGCACGCCTCCGGCCTCACCTTTCCCAGGGAGGGACACCGCCAGGGTGACACAAACCAGCTCCCTGGACTCCACAGTCTGCCTGAAATTTCAGTTCTGGATGTTTGAGAAAAACCTCCCCCACTTTCCTAATCGCCACCTATAAGACCTCGTGCTGCTGGCAAATTGCTTTGGTTTTCTGCCAGGCTGATTCAGGTTTTAAGCGAACACAACGATTTGGCGGTGATGATTTTTCAGCACGTCTGGGTCCACCTGGGAAGGAGCGAAGCCGCAATATTAGAGCTTGACACGGTCAGAAGATGAGAATGTTGCATTTCGATGGGCAGGAGAGAGAGCTGTCATGCCAGAACTGGGAACAACTGGTGATCTCTGACAAGCCAAACTATAAATTCATCTGGCCATGTTTATAAAATATTTATCTTCTCTCCCTTGCCGTTCATTTCCAAAATATTTTTAAGAGTCAGCTCATGATTTTCTTAGGCAAATCCTTTTCCACCCACACATCACAGTCTCAAATAAGTGCATCTTTATATGGAGACCATTATAGATACCAGATTTTCCTCACCAAAGGAAAAAACAAAGTTAAATATAAGATAAGTTTAAAATACATATATAACTTCAAAATAATTCACGCCTACACCAGTCCTAGCACCAGAGTGCTCCGTTTTAACTACACAAAGCAGCACTTTTGGTTATAAACCACGGTCGCGTTAAAGCTGCTCTGTTTCCAGACGAAGGCCCACTAGAGCAAGCACAGTTACTTCTGCTGGGGAAGGAGCCACATCGCTCCTTCCTCAGTTTTTAATTCATCAGACTCCTATAGGTCTTGATGACTTCATCAGGAGTTGAGGTTTGTGACCAAACGTCAGAGGATGAGACCTGTGTCAGCCGTGACGGAATCATCACCAGCTACGAAAGCCGACCCTTGAAGACGTCTGCTGAAACGCCCGTGGTTTGCCACAGCGCGCTGCCAGCCCAGCGCAGAGCGCGCAACAACCCCGAGCCTTACCGCAGACCCACAGCCAGAGAGCACTTCTGTTCTACAGACAGTTACAGCAGAGGCTCGCAGCCTCGCAGACTGCGTTCACGGGCTGGAGGCAGACTCCTCCACCAGCCGAAGGCACTAAGCCGTGCGGATGAGCTCCCTGCCCGAGAGGTTTGCAGCTAATTCTGTGAGCAAAAATCCCAGTTGTCCAGAGCAACCGTAAGGAAAACAACTGCATTTTTATACCTATACTGTGCTGCAGGCAGGGCTAAGCACAACATTCCGAGTATTTGACTTCTTGAAGGAGTAAATATTTTTAAATGGGCAGGGAAAAGTTTTGTTTTCTCGATACTGTTAGCTCTAGTGAAGCAAACAAGAAACCACTTATTCATATAAATTCTATTCTTTTCCTTAATTCTCTATTAGATTAATGCATTTAAAACTGAAACTATTTCATTTTTTACTAGAATCAGGCTATATCAAAGAGTGAGAAGGGAAAGAAAAAAAAGGCTTATGTGGGCATAGAACATTTAAGCATTAAGCTACAGTTAGCAGTAATATTTATAACATAGTCGGTCAATTGTTACAAAAATACTAACAACAAAGCTTACAATCATAAACTTACTCTAACTTCCAGGGAACAGAAATAAAGGCCAAAATACTCACACAGGAATCATAAATTAGAAGAACTTGCCTTGCTGTTCACCAGTCCCTCTGCCACTGCGGCACCCTGGGAAGCAGAAGTCCAGGTCCAGCCCTATCCCAAGGCCGGGGCTATCGGGCTGGCTCCTGCTGCACAGGTCACCTTCCGAACACCTCAGCAGGAGGGAGCCAAGGGAACACCAAAGCCTCCCACCACACAGCAGCAGGAACAGCTTGCAGATCATCGCTGTCCTCCAGTACATGAGACACGTAATGCTACTGACCTCCGAGAAAAATACACTCCAAGAAATCTGTCAGGCTTCAAAGTTCTTCTCAGTTTGAAGGTGTTAAACCATGACACCTCCACAGACTCAAAGACCATCACATTAAAATGTAGACTGTGTTATCTTCTATCCTGGAACAGCCCAAATTAATACGGGGCAGTTCCAAACTGTGATATTTGTATTTCTCATGGGGAGGGAAACCATCTTTTCAGGTTGTAGAACACGCTGTAGCCCTGTTCTTCCTCAAGCTCCACCATATAAACCACAGGTAGTACAGGGAAACCATCTTTTCAGGTTGTAGAACATGCTGTAGCCCTGTTCTTCCTCAAGCTCCAGCATATAAACCACAGGTAGTATGATACGTCTGAAGTCATTAATTTACCACAGTCCAATACATTCACTGTCATTAATTCACCACAATCTTCGAAGCTGGTGAAGTCTGGAAGCTACTGCTCTAAGAACAGAACACCTCTCCTTTCCTTCCCACTAGGAACATCACCTCTCCGAACGCTGTGACGCTGCACCAGCCTTGTAATGCTTACAGCACTGAGGATTTTCTTCGTAAGAGACACCCCAAGGGAAGTACCACCCACAGTAAAAACACAGAGGATTACAGTCTAGCAACGATGCTGGAATCTTTATAAAAGCCTTATTCTGGCTTCAAGCAATACAAACTCAGAATAGCTAAAAGAAGCAATCCAGATGAGTGTTAAATCTGAAGAGTATCATCCTTCACAATTTCAACCACCAAGCCCATATTGTCAATTGTATATTGTAATGGTTTGATCTCAAAGAAGTCCTACATAATGTTTCGAAAAATAACCTCATCGGAAGCAGATTCCCTAGAATATAATCACAAAGAAATGACTTCACCAGAAGTAAAATTCTACTATGGCACCTTGCTTCCATTTAGAATTGTGTTTATCCGTAAGAGTCTAGTTCATCAGCTGTCCTGGAAAAATTCATTCAAGAAGTTCTTCATAATCATAGACATAAAATAATGCAACAAACGCCTATTAATTTAGGTTAGCTTGTCAAATACCAAAGGGTACAGGACAGTTCATGACACTACTTTAGTAGTCAATGTGAATGAAAGTGAATCCTCTATTCTACAGTCAAGGTAGGAAGTTGTCACTGAGCACTACAGTCTCGTTAGGAAGATAACGGCATCTTGAGGGACCAGCGAGACGTACTGTAGCATATTTTTTGTCACTATGCCACAAGAAAAAGCAAGGAACTTCGCAGCTAAACAGACAGACTAGAAACTGTTCAAACAGCGGCAGTTTTCTTTCCTTGTAATCCTCTTTCAGAGGTGTACTAAGCCAAACACAGATTGCACTCAAATTCAGAGGTTAGGAAGATAACGGCATCTTGAGGGACCAGCGAGACGTACTGTAGCATATTTTTTGTCACTATGCCACAAGAAAAAGCAAGGAACTTCGCAGCTAAACAGACAGACTAGAAACTGTTCAAACAGCGGCAGTTTTCTTTCCTTGTAATCCTCTTTCAGAGGTGTACTAAGCCAAACACAGATTGCACTCAAATTCAGAGGCAATGTATCACTTAACAGTGATTCTCCTGTGGATTTATCTTGACCTCTCGCATCCCTCGAACTCAACACAACGCGTCTCTCTGCCAGAGGGAAGCACTGAAACGTGCTGCCGAGAACGGCGACTGCACAGCAAACATCTTCGTATTTTCTCCAAATGAAAACAAAGGTATTAACCTTAGGGCCAGAAGAAATGGTTCAGTTCTACAAAATACTCTGCAATATCTATGTGGGGCTTTGGAAAACACGAAAGTATGGCGAGTTTTCGACCTCCAGAACGTGTGTAAAAATCACCTCTCTGCACCTGCTCCCTCGCGATTTCTGTGCACAAAGGCAGAGTGCCTTTTTGCTACCATGGCACTGCAGAACAACAAATACAGCACCATCAGGCTTTTCAAAGCAACACAAAGGAGCGCAGCACTTGGATCCTACCGAATTCCAGTGGACGCTGGACATGCGAGTTTTCTCTTTTCCTGGGGCTGACAGCCTTCCTTCCCCGTCTTGGGCCATACTTGATGAAGTCAAGGGTTTATTCTGAGAAATCTCAAACTTAATGACCAAGTTGGAGAATAAAAGCTGTATTTCACCAAGTACACTACCTAAATAGCTCAATTATTCCAGCACTGTTCCTGACAGCACTTTTCTCCCACATATTCTACCTTGTCACTGACATCTTTATA